TCCAACAAACAACCGAGATCCAATTCCCTAGAGCAAGAGCCCCTCACTAGTGTCAAGGAACCTCCCTCAAGGCCTGCTCGCATCTTGAAATTTCACACACATCTGGAAGCAAAAATTTGACCAAGCGACTGCTCATATCTTGAAAAACTTGCATGTTGGGGCACTCATAAGTAGAGGTTCCACTGTATTAATTCAGGGGGTCTGGACAATGAAAAGTTTAAGTAACTGCTATTCCAGCAGGTAATCTTCTGAACGAGCTTGTGCTTTGTAAGTTCATTTTGTTCAAGAGTTTCTAGTTTACTGCAGGCTAGAGGAGAATGACTGAAGTGGCTCACTATTTGTCAACAATTAGCAATGATGTCCTTTATTCCTCTCTGCTCAATCATAGATAACCAGTTGAAGTGTATGTACAATGATAGTATGAGTAAGTGATTTGAATAATCCTCACAGTACATGTGTAATATTAATTTTTTAAATTATTGGTTGGTATCAGCTTCTTTTTCATTGATACTAACACCATATATATGGCCGATATTGATATTTCAGCATACCTTTAATAATAATAATAATAATAATAATAATAATAATAATAATAGCTGTATTAATGATGCTAGAAATGGTTCTGCTCAACAGGTAAACCTCTGTATAGTACTTTGATAAATACAGTAGGGCCCTGCTTTACGGCGTTTCGCCTTATGGCATTCCACTAATATGGCGCTTTCAAATTATGACCAATATTTGCTATATGGCAAGTGGTCTTTCAAATACGGCACTCCCCACCCGGTTTGTTTACATTCTTCATGAGCACATCTATTATGTCTGGAAACTTTCCAAAATTTTAAGTGTTTTAAAGTTACTGCGTATTTTATACGTACTCTGATAATTATGCTTATGTGTACCTGTATCTAAATATACTTACACACTGTGCTGGCATGTGGGTACACATTAAAATCACTAGAGTCTCTACTCATGACGCCATAGTAATACTATGTAATAATAATCTCTCTTGGGTACATGAAATGTCTTATTTTACGTTAATAAAGACATTTCATTAATCCATCTATGATATTTTCTTCAAAATTATATAAGAAACACGTTACATAGCATATAAACATTATACATGCACCTACAGAATAAAATTGACAAATATGAGATTAGTTTACAAAGCGGCTCAGTAGGAGTGTCGGAAGAATTACGTTTTCTCTAGTCAAACACGGGGATAACTGTAGATAAATATTCCTTTCATATGCCTTCACTCTATATATAGCAATTCACGACCCTTGTGGGTTTAGTGCTTCTTATGATTATAATAACTTGTAACAACAACTTGTTGTTACAAGTTGTTGTTACAAGTTGTTGTTACAAGTTGTTACAAGTTGTTGTTACAAGTTGTTGTTACAACTTGTAACAACAACTTGTAATAACAACTTGTAATAACAACTTGTAATAACTTGTAATAACTTGTAACAACTTGTAACAACAACAACAACTTGTAACAACAACTTGTAATAACTTGTAATAACTTGTAACAACTTGTAACAACTTGTAACAACAACTTGTAACAACAACTTGTAACAACAACTTGTAACAACAACTTGTAACAACAACTTGTAATAACTTGTAATAACTTGTAATAACTTGTAATAACTTGTAATAACTTGTAATAACTTGTAATAACTTGTAATAACAACTTGTAATAACAACTTGTAATAACTTGTAATAACTTGTAATAACTTGTAATAACAACTTGTAATAACTTGTAATAACAACTTGTAATAACTTGTAATAACTTGTAATAACAACTTGTAATAACAACTTGTAATAACAACTTGTAATAACAACTTGTAATAACAACTTGTAATAACAACTTGTTAATAACAACTTGTAATAACAACTTGTAATAACAACTTGTAATAACAACTTGTAATAACAACTTGTAATAACAACTTGTAATAACAACTTGTAATAACAACTTGTAATAACAACTTGTAATAACAACTTGTAATAACAACTTGTAATAACAACTTGTAATAACAACTTGTAATAACAACTTGTAATAACAACTTGTAATAACAACTTGTAATAACAACTTGTAATAACAACTTGTAATAACAACTTGTAATAACAACTTGTAATAACAACTTGTAATAACTTGTAATAACTTGTAATAACTTGTAATAACTTGTAATAACTTGTAATAACTTGTAATAACTTGTAATAACAACTTGTAATAACAACTTGTAATAACAACTTGTAATAACAACTTGTAATAACTTGTAATAACTTGTAATAACAACTTGTAATAACTTGTAATAACTTGTAATAACTTGTAATAACAACTTGTAATAACAACTTGTAATAACAACTTGTAATAACAACTTGTAATAACAACTTGTAATAACAACTTGTAATAACAACTTGTAATAACAACTTGTAATAACAACTTGTAATAACAACTTGTAATAACAACTTGTAATAACAACTTGTAATAACAACTTGTAATAACAACTTGTAATAACAACTTGTAATAACAACTTGTAATAACAACTTGTAATAACAACTTGTAATAACAACTTGTAATAACAACTTGTAATAACAACTTGTAATAACAACTTGTAATAACAACTTGTAATAACAACTTGTAATAACAACTTGTAATAACAACTTGTAATAACAACTTGTAATAACAACTTGTAATAACAACTTGTAATAACAACTTGTAATAACAACTTGTAATAACAACTTGTAATAACAACTTGTAATAACAACTTGTAATAACAACTTGTAATAATAACTTGTAATAATAACTTGTAATAATAACTTGTAATAATAACTTGTAATAATAACTTGTAATAATAACTTGTAATAATAACTTGTAATAATAACTTGTAATAATAACTTGTAATAATAACTTGTAATAATAACTTGTAATAATAACTTGTAATAATAACTTGTAATAATAACTTGTAATAATAACTTGTAATAATAACTTGTAATAATAACTTGTAATAATAACTTGTAATAATAACTTGTAATAATAACTTGTAATATAACTTGTAATAATAACTTGTAATAATAACTTGTAATAATAACTTGTAATAATAACTTGTAATAATAACTTGTAATAATTTTTCAAAGCATCATTCCTTCTAAAAATTACATGAGAATGGAAGTGTTGGTCTTTATTTATTCTACTGTACCACTGTGGAGACAACTTGTACACAATGTAAGGTGTTTGTATGAATGTTTATGAACCACAACCAGACCCATCGTCTGTTTGTTTACATAGTGGGTGGGGGTAGCCAGGGTGGCTCCCCTACACTACCCTACCTACCACCACTTTCTACAAATAAATACTTTTCACCTCTCACCCTACAGTGAGACTACAAATATCTTAAGGTAAGTAAAGAGTGTACTGTATATGCATTTTATCACTCTATTTAAGCATCGTCGTAGCATATCGTGTGTGGGGGGTGGCCAGGAGGGCTACCACACTAACTTCTTATAGTAAATGCTACTCACCTTCTGCCCTACATTAACCTTTTCAGGGTCCCCAGGCCCTCTCTGCGACTTATTCCTCAGGTCCCCAAATTTAAAAAAAAAAAATTTTTTTCTTATGAAAAGATAGATAATCTTTTCCCAATCATAATGACACCAAAAGTATGAAATTTGATGGAAAACTTACGGAATTATGCTCTCGCGAAGTTAACGGTCTCGACAATGTTGACACATCGGCGATTTTGCCCACTTTGAGCCCTGTTTTCAGCCAATTCCAGTGTACTAGTCAACAAAAATCATAACTATTTCGCTAGAACTCAGTTTTTTTCTATCGAATGAGTACAAAAACCACCCATTTACTGATTTCAACTATCCAATAAAGTGATAAGAATTTAGCAATTTTGCCAATTTCACACAAATTTCAGAAGATGCCAATTTCCAAATAGGGTCCAGAATAAACAAGACAGACATTCCTGGCACTAAAATAAGTTCTCTGTTTGTTAGTCACATACCAGGCCCCTCTTATATGTCTTTGGCTTTCCACTTTGAATTTTTATTCTTACAAAAAATAGAAGATTTACTGTTATGCAGACTACTGCATTAGTGTAGAGATGGTATAAACAATATCAGTGCACTTGTGAAAGAATATTAGACTCAAAAGTTGACGTATATTGGACGCTTGGCATGATTTGTTTACTTTTGAACTTTGGTAAAAATCTAACATTTCTGCTACTTTGAGCTCAATTTCAAGGTACTTTTCATTGTAAAACCAATCAAAATCATCTCAATTTCTGTAAAATGTCTTCCATTCTATAAAATGAGACCAGGAAAATTAGAATACAACAATAAATACCATATGAAAATACAGTGCAAAGTTGCTGTTTTAATCCAAAAACACGGTCAGTTTTTTTTTCCCTCATTACGCACTGTGTACTGCAGGATTTTTTTTTTATACTGCACACACTGACCACAGACCCATTCTTTCATATGTAGGCCTACCAGCTTTCTCTCGCTAGATTTGAGGGCGCTAGAATTTAGGCATACTAGTACGTCAAAAACCCTGGGGGGTAAGCCGTACTAGTATGGCCGAAACCCTGAAAGGGTTAAGACTATGAATATTTTGAGGTAAATAATGAGTATACTGTGTGTATTTTACTTTTTATTGTTTTTAATGCCTAAGTTCTATTGCTAACTTAATATATGTTAGTGTAAACTTGTCATCTGGCATTTATATACATTTATAAGTGAAAAAAATGGTGTTCTGCTTTCCGGCAAAGTCTGCTTTCCTGGCAGAAGCCTGGAACCTAACTTGCCACATAAGTGGGGCCCTACTGTATATAAAGTCTTATTTTTAACTGATGGCCGAGTTAAATAAATTACAAACGTGCACACCAAAAAAAATAAAAAGAAAAGGACATGTTGGAGAACCACTTGAATACTATTTACTAACCCTAAAATTCCTGGAAGTCTAATTAAAAATGAAACTCGAGTACTGTACTTACGTTCGTCAGAGGAATGTTCACAGTCCTTGGCAATGTGACCAACGCCATCACAGCGATAACAGTGATCCTCCTCTTCCTTGCAGTCACGAGCAAAGTGACCTGGACGGTTGCACTTGTAGCACTTCTCTAAGGAGTAGAAATCTGAAGTCACAAGTGTGACCAAGTTAAGAATTAATAAAGGAATACCGCACTGCCTGAAAAAAAATACTATGACTGAACAAATTTATCAATGCTAGAATCAAATGAGTGAATCCAAAATGTGTAGAGCTGATAATGCTGAAGAAAAGACACACAAATGGGAAACCATTTCATTTTGTTGATTTTAATTATTTTGTTGTCAGGGCTTTACCAAGTCACACAAAAGATACAAAAGACACTGGTGTATATACATTATACTACTAGGAGCAGAAGGTGAACTCATGGGTACATGGAGGTATGCAGTATCTACAATAATAATAATAATAATAATAATAATAAAATAGTAATAAATATTAAAATAAAAAAAATAATAATAATAATACAGTAGTAATAGCTAGTACAGTGGAATCCTTCGGTACTCGAACTTAATTTGTTCCAGAAGGATGTTCGGGTGCCGATCTGTTTGAGTACCGTACAAATTTTTCCCCAACCAATTTTCTGTTTGGTTAGCTGTTATCACTAATCTTCTTAGGTCCCACAGTGACTTATTTATACAAATAACAAACACCAAAAAATGCAAAGAAACACAAAATAGTTTACAGAGAAGTTCTGGCAGGTTGTGTTTGTTTGGTTGAGTGCCGAGCAAACCGTCAACTACTGAGCAATATTTTTACCGAATAAAGCGTTCGAATACCGAACTGTTCGAGTATAGAGGTTCCACTGTAACAGTACAGAAATATTAGTAATATAGTAGTAATAGTGGTACAGCAATAATACAGTAATAGTAGTAGTAGTATAATAGTATAGTAGTAGTAGTATAATAGTATAGTAGTAGTAGTATAATAGTATAGTAGTAGTATAATAGTATAGTAGTAGTAGTAGTATAATAGTATAGTAGTAGTAGTATAGTAGTAGTATAATAGTAGTAGTATAATAGTAGTAGTATAATAGTAGTATAATAGTAGTAGTATAAAAGTAGTAGTATAATAGTAGTAGTATAATAGTAGTATAATAGTAGTATAATAGTATAGTAGTAGTATAATATTACAGTAGTAGTATAATATTATTATAGTATTATTATAGTAGTAGAATTAGTACTGCAGTAGTAGTAGTAAGAGGCCCAAAATTGCTCAACTGCCTCCCAGCATACATAAGGGGGACTACCAATAAACCCCTGGCTGTCTTCAAGAGGGAGCTGGACAGATATCTAAAGTCAGTCCCTGACCAGCCAGGTTGTGGTTCATACAATGGATTGTGTGCAGCCAGCAGTAACAGCCTGGCTGATCAAGCCGTGATCCACCATGTGACCTGGTCACAGACCAGTCTACAGGGGTGTGACCCCCCAGAACCCTTTCCATGTAGTGATGGTGGTAGTACATATAATGGTGGTAGAATTATAGTAGTGCAGTATAGTAGTAGTAATATAGTAGTAGTAGTTATATAGTAGTAGATGGTAGTAAAGTAGTAGCAGTAGTAGTATAGCAGTATAGTAATAGTAATATAGTAGTACAATAGTAGTAGTATAGTAGTACAATAATAGTTGTATAGTTGTCAGCATAGTTGCTGATCCCCTGTATAAGTTGTGTAGCACATCTGAGTATTATAGTACCATCTAAATGTATTATATAGACGACCCATTGCTAGACTTAGCAGCTAGCGTGTGAAGTCACAGTGCTGTTTGTGGGTGGGAGTCACCCTGTCCCTCCCTCAGTTCACGAATAGACTTACAGGCTACAACAGGCTAGGCTGGGCTCCTCTCACAATTTTGCTAATATAAGTGTATACAACCCAACAAGTGTGTTTATCTCCAACCATCATATCTCCACGGAACCCTCCCAACATAGTACAGTGGACCCTCGACCAACGATGGCATCGTCTAACATTAAATCCGACTAGCGATACATTTTAACGCAAAAATTTTGCCTCAACTAGCGCTAAAAAACTCGACCAGCACAATTCGTTCCATCTGAGACGCGTCCACTGGTGGCCAGTGTTTACAAGCCAGCCAGCCACCGCAGTCCCAAACATACAATCGGAACATTTCATATTATCACAGCGTTTTTAGTGATTGCACCTGCAAAATAAGTCACCATGGGCCCCAAGAAAGCTTCTAGTGCCAACCCTACAGCAAAAAGGGTGAGAATTACTATGGATATGAAGAAAGAGATCATTGCTAAGTATGAAAGTGGAGTGTGTGTCTCCGAGCTGGCCAGGTTGTACACAAAACCCCAATCGACCATCGCTACTATTGTGGCCAAGAAAACGGCAATCAAGGAAGCTGTTCTTGCCGAAGGTGCAACTTTGTTTTAGAAACAAAGATCACAAGTGATAGAAGATGTTGAGAGACTGTTATTGGGGTGGATAAACAAAAAACAGATAGCAGGAGATAGCATCTCTCAAGCAATCATGTGAAAAGGCTAGGAAGTTGCACGAGGATTTAATTAGAAAAATGCCTGCAACTAGTGGTGATGTGAGTGAATTTAAGGCCAGCAAAGGTTGGTTTGAGAGATTTAAGAATCGTAGTGGCATACATAGTGTGATAAGGCATGGTGAGGCTGCCAGTTTGGACCAAAAAGCAGCTGAAAAATATGTGCAGGAATTCAAGGAGTACATAGACAGTGAAGAATTGAAACCTGAACAAGTGTTTAATTGTGACACTGACAATGTTGTGAAACACTTTAGGAATGTCATGAAGGAATGGGAGGTACAGGCCTCTATGGACAGATGTTGTGCGACAGAGGTCTAGTGACTCAAGCTGGTCCTAGTGGCATTAAAAGAAGAAGGGAAGTAACCCCGGAAAAGGACTTGCCACCAAGTCCTAATGGAAGGGGATTCCCCTTCTAAACACTAACACCATCCACAGTCTCCCCTCCTCCCACCCCATCAATCATCACCAGATCTTCAATAAAGGTAAGTGTCATGTAATTGTACATGTCTTCTTCAGTTTGTATTAAAATTAATATTTCATGTGGTAAAAAAAATTTTTCAATACATTTGGGTGTCTTGCACGGATTAATTTGATTTCCATTATTTCTTAGGGGGAAAATTAACTCGACTAACGATAATTTCGATTAACGATGAGCTCTCAGGAATGGATTAATATCGTTGGTCGAGGGTCCACTGTAGTACAATAATAGTGGTATAGTAGTACAATGGTAGTTGTAGTAGTATAGTACAGTAGTAGTAGTATAGCAGTACAGCAGCAGCAGTAGTAGTAGTATAGTAGTGGTACAATAGCAGTAGTAGTAGTGGTACAGTAGTAGTAGAATAGTAGTAGTAGTAGCATAGTAAGTAGTAGTAGTAGTAGTATAGTAATAAGTAGTAGTAAGTAGCATAGTAGTGTAGTAGTGATAGTAGTAGTAGATAGTATGTATAGTAGTAGTAGTAGTAGTATAGATAGTAAGTTAGTAGTAGTAGTAGTAGTAGATAGTAGTAGTAGTTAGTAGTAGTAAGTAGTAGCATAGTAGTATAGTAGTAGATAGTAGTAGTTAAGCATAGTAGTAGTAGTAGTAAGTAGTAGTAAGCATAGTAGTAGTAGTATAGTAGCATAGTAGTAGTGTAGTAGTAGTAGCATAGTAGTAGTAGTGTAGTAGTAGTAGTAGTAGTAGCATAGTAGTAGTAGTAGCATAGTAGTAGTAGTAGTAGCATAGTAGTAGTAGTAGTAGTAGTAGCATAGTAGTAGTAATAGCATAGTAGCAGCAGTAAAATTTTGTTGATTGTTTTTCTTTTGTTTTGGTTTTCATTGTCTGTTGATTTTTGTTGATTATAATTTTTGGCTGTTTTTGTAGTAGTCTCAGTAGCAGTAATGGCTTTTGGCTTTTGGCTGGCGGCGGCGGCTGCTGCTGCTGCTGCTGCGGCTGCGGCAGCGGCTGCTGCGGCTGCGACTGCTGCTGCAGCAGCAGCAGCAGCAGCAGCAGTGTCAGTAACAGTGGCAATGGGGATAAATTATTCAAGTGGATGAATGAAGAAGCAGGTAACTCCATCCTCTAAAAAGTCCATAAGGAGATCATACAGTAACAAAAATAAAAAAAGCGTTACACTAGGCCTACTGGCCTCTACTAGGTAAACAAAGGAGAAAAGATCAGTACAGGAAAAGTGAAGGAAAAACAGAAGACAGGCCAAGAGAAAAGGGTGAGAAGGCAAAGGTCAGGCCAGGTCAAGTCAAATCAAGTGTCCTGAAGATAAGAGTACAGTGGAACCTTGACTTACGAGTGTCCCAACGTACGAGTTTTTTGAGATACGAGCCATCGATTGGTAGATTTTTTGCTCCGAGTTAAGAGCCAGCTCCCCCCCCCCACTTCCTACTCAACCCAAAACCCGGACACCTCTCTTGTTTATCTACGATTTCATGCTTTAATTCCATGGAAATCATCCTCTTTTTCTTATCAGCATTATCCTTTACACTTACTTTCTTAGGACCCATGCTTAGAAAAGAAATTTGGCCAAATGACTGTCAAAAATGTAAGCAAGCAGGAGAGAACTGCTCCCACAGCTAGGTAAACAGTACACTGAGTAGACTTAACATAGAACATAAGAAAGGAGGAACACTGCAGCAGGCCTGATGGCCCATACTAGGCAGGTCCTTTACAATTCATCCCACTAACAAAACATTTGCCCAACCCAATTTTCAATGCTACCCAAGAAATAAGCTCTTATGTGCAAGTCCCACTCAAATCCAACCCTTTGTTCTGAAGCTCTTGTAATAATTGTTTTTATTTTTTTATTAACACACTGGATGATTCCCACCAAGGCAGGGTGGCCCGAAAAAGAAAAACTTTCACCATCATTCACTCCATCACTGTCTTGCCAGAAGGGTGCTTTACACTACAGTTTTTAAACTGCAACATTAACACCCCTCCTTCAGAGTGCAGGCACTGTACTTCCCATCTCCAGGACTCAAGTCCGGCCTGCCGGTTTCCCTGAATCCCTTCATAAATGTTACTTTGCTCACACTCCAACAGCATGTCAAGTATTAAAAACCATTTGTCTCCATTCACTCCTAT